GGCCAAATGAAAGTCTCTACCTACTTGTCTATTCATTGCGTATTCCCCATACGCCGGGAGGTGATTAGGGGCATTTTTCAGCGCGTCCACGTCGCTACCGAATGTGACACAACGTCAAGGTTTAAAGCGGGTTTAACGGCAATCTTCTTTTATGTTTCGTGTTCCTTCAGAACATAGGCGATCATGGCTCTCCACTTCTCCCTATCTGTTGTAGCTCCAAATAAGTTAGATGACAGAATAGGGTCTGGCAGAAGTAGCAATTGGACAAAACTTATTTAGAGCTATTATAATGCCAGAGCAGACATTAAACTCAGTGTCAAACCAGATCATAAAAGAAGTCAGATGCAGCAGGGGATGAACTTGAAGACACTCCAGGTCACAGAAAGCAGAAATAAATAAACTGCATCTAGTTTTGTACGCGTTGGAAAGAACTGAGTAAGCCAGATATAAACAACCGTTCCAGAGAGGACTTGGGCAGTCTCTCAGCTTTCGTAGATCAAGACTGTAAGGGCTACATTCAGGACAGAGACGAAAGAGCCGCTCACTCACTCACCCAAATCCGATAACAGTAACTATTATTGAAATAAAAGTTCAGCATTAAATAACCTATAGGGGTGTTTCATAAGCCTTTTTTTTTTAAGGGCTCATTTAAATTCAAATTGTAATAGGTCCCCATGCGTGACACACCAGCAAGACATAATTACTACATGGAAAGCAACAGGTTAAAACTATTTCAAAACACTGAAACCGTTTACATAATATCCTACCTTTAAGAAATAGATTTACACCAAAACATATAACACCTACAAGAGATCATCTACAAACTATATATCTATAAAGCTTAAGTTTACCTTGAAAGTATAAAATTATTTTTTTAAAATATCTGTATTTGAAGGCATAAAATTGTATTTAAATGTTTAGATTTCGGCATTAAATAACCCATGGAAGTGTTGATGTACCGCTGAACAAAAGCAACCAAACGAATTTTTTTTTTCTATTCACCTTTCAAATTCACACAAATCGTGGTCACAAGTTAGGGCTATATAAAGCATCCATCAGCAAATAGCAGTAAATTACACGGGGTGAGGAAAAATCAAAATTTCCGGGGGTAATGAAGATGTAACAGGTTTCACCTGAACAAATTTCGAGGGAGATAGAGAGGAAGAGGAGGGGAAGCGAAATAAGCGGATCACATGGAAGTATTTTATGGAATTTTATTCAAGTTATCTTTTCATAATTGTTGTTTTATGCGATGTGCTTGCTTTCGAGTTGACCCACGTTAAAGCATGTGCTTCTTTAGAAAATCGGAATTATAAGATTCGGCATTATAAGATTATATTCCAGTAATTAAAGTTATATGAATTACAATCTATTACGTTGAGTTTTAAATACTTTCGTATATTAGGAAACCATTGTAATGATGAATGTATCATTGTAACCAGCGCCAGTGCAAAGCTATCATACCCGACTCCGACCGAATCTATGATTCGGGGACCCAACTTTACATCTCAATTTTCAGAAGGTATTATTCATATAAAATACAAATTTTATTGTAACCAAATTATGTACAATAATGGATCATATGCAATATCGATGAACAATTCAACTAGAAAAATTGAAAATAAATACAATGTGTCTAAATAAAAATTAGAGACATGCCATAATAGATCATTCCATCTTAAATAAATGAACAATGTTTTGCGGTAATTTTTTACATCAACTTGAGATTTTTTTTCTTGTTAGATAGATGAACAAATTTAACACAGTCAATATTATGGATACAAAATAGTGAATTTTATACAGTGTTTTTTCGAGACTTTTCATGAGTAAAACAAATTCACGGATTTGGACCCAAAAAGACCCCAACGTCCGCCAAACAAAATTTCATCCTTTAATAGTCAGTTTTACTTAGTTTGTAATGTATATCAATGTAGGTAGAAAAACGCTAATGATGATAATTGGGTCACAAATCTACCGAGGCTCCAAATCAGGCTTGACACCACTCCGATCGGGGGACTCGGAGATAGTACGCGCCGGACCTGATTCTAACTATTACAGTTAAGAATAAATTTAGAGTAGGCTAACATACCCAGTTTTCAGAGCAATGGCAATGTAGACAAAGAAAAAATGGATTAAAGAAAAAAATGTTTTCCTCTTTGACAACGCAACGCTGCAGATAGCAAGAATAACATTGGAAAAAAATAATTTGGAAATCACTGTTCTGTTCTACCCAACCCACCATACTCACTTGATCTTACATCATCCGATTATTAAACTTTTCGATCGCGTTGAATGCGCAAACCTTATAATGAAAACCAGATTGAAGAATTCGTCGAAAGTTTTTTCACATTAAAACCTGCGGAATTTTACTCAATATTCTGAAGAATTACCTATATGGAAATAAGTTATTGCAAATAATTACCTATATGGCAATAATTACCTATATGGCAATAAGTTATTGCAAATAATGGTGAATGTATGACCGAATAAAATGCAATTGTATTTTATTTTTGAAGAATAAAACATTTAGTGGTTCTAGGGACTAGTATTTATTTAAAATAAAGACAAGAAAATATTTTATAAAAATAAACATATATGGTGATAATTCAAATAAAGTTAACACGGTAAAAACAAACAAACAAATAAATAAACAACAAACATATAATTAAAAATCATCAATTTTATTATTCCGGTAATAAAATAAAACGTAATAATACGAGGAAATGCTGAAAAAATTTCGGTCACGCCCCCCACTTCCTAAAATTTGATCAGATGACCAAAGATTTTCCATCCCTTCTAAGTAGGATCGAGAAATTTTCAGCGACTCCTCGTATAATAATATATTCATTTCTGATGTGTATATACAATTATTTACATAAGAAACATAATCTGATATCTCAGAGAATATTTCTTATTTTTTTATATAAATATTTAGATGTGAAAATGTGTAACAGTCTCTCGGTGGATTTCTCAAAATGGTTGATATAAAACTTGGATTGGTCGGAATGAGACGCTACTTAGTAGCGTTTTTCCAGCCAGCTGTGAAATGACTGATCGGCAGTGTTTATTGGTTTTTCGATGTTTAATATTCAAGTCTTTGTTTTGTATGTACAATCTGTGGTTAAAAAAAAAGGTAGAAAAATATCTAATAAACAGTCATTGTCTTTTTTTATTATTATTATTCCAGAGTTCCGGTTTGTACATTACTTATGATCACGGGGTAACTTAAGCCGCTTTGTTCATATGTTACGCGTTGGCTCGTAAGGTGGTGTTTTCATTAATCATTTCACCCGAAGCAAGGCAATAAACCCATTAAAATGCAAGGGGCTACTGAGTGTTAGAGAATATGAGAGAGAAAAAAAATAAACAGAGAAAACAGTAAAAGAACAGGAATTAAGAAGACAATATAACGATTGACATCGCATTTGAATTTTTGAAAATCAGAATTGACTGGAAAACAAGAAGCAGGAAGATATTTCTACAAGCGAGAAGTACGAGAGAAGAAACGGTTAGCATAGAATTTACATCTAAAATTTTCAACTGTAAAATGACGAGACCTTGCCACCAATCTGGTACTGCGCTTATATTCATAAAGTCGAGATACCAATAAGGAATGCTCGTGAGAAGAATTAACCATGAATATATTTATAGAAAAGGCACACGGAAGCTATGTTTCGGCGAAGTGAAGGAGAGATGCCAGGTTAGGACCAATAATATTGCAGATTCTTCTTTGGATTTGATCAAGAATCTCCAAATACTCAGTAGAAGCACCAGACCAAATTTGGCAGCAATATTCAAGGCATAGAGTTATAAAAGTATATGATTGATTCTGGCTAGTAAGATTATAAAAATAAAGATTGCATAAAGAAGAAATTTAAATAATAGCAAAGACGGATGGCAGTGTGTGGAAATTAAGGGAACTCTGAGATTGCCATATGAATTTTAAGAATTCAAAATGGAAGAAAGACAGAAAGAAAGAAAGAAAGAAAGAAAGAAAGAAATGATGAAAGATAATGGAATGAATGTAGAAGAGAGCGTAAATAAAGATATAGCCAGAGAGATGGAGACAGAATTTCTAAAATCGTAGCATTCGTTTCTTCGATAAAGGTCCTTTCTTTTGCATATAATTATGTAATGTTACCAAGGTTAGGTCAAAATATTCCAATAATTTTACGAGATACATAGCTAAAAATTGCTTTTGAAGAAATTATCAAAGTTTTCCCATTTTTAATAAATTTTTTTAAGAACGTCTGTTTCATGCAAGAATGCAATCTTAACGCCCTGAAGATTGCTCTCAAGCATCAAATAGACTATCGCCATACGGTGTTGGCTTTAATATCCATTTCCCTCCATATATATATATATATATATATATATATATATATATATATAAGCTTCGTAAAATTCCACAAGACCTACTGAAATATTTTGCTGCCTGAAATATGCTATATATATATATATAAATATATATATATATATATATATATATATATATATATATAATTGTATATGTATATGCAATATTTGTTGTGTTTTTTTCTGTGTTAATGTGCTTTCATTATATTCAGTCTTTTTATTGATTAATTTCTAGTCAAATGACTCAATCCACGGATCGATGGTTAATATTTAAATGAAGGACAATGTCCAATATGCCTTTATATGTCCCCTGTAACGATAGATGAAGAATTTAAAAATGGATGGATTGTTGAATGCTAGCGCTGGATCATTTATACACATGAAGAAAAAAATAAAACGGTTTCACTGTTGCATGAGCACGTTTCTGTTTTTGTTCGGAAGAACTTATGACGACATCTTTGCGATTCTCAAAAATAAATTTACAAAAAATATAAACAGTCATAAAAAGGAGGCACATCGGTGGTTTTCTGTAGTTTCTTTAAAAGAAAAGAATGGAACACAGCTATATTGAAAGGAAATAGTTTTTTGTTGTTTTTTTTATAGTTGTACTTTTCTTTTCCTTTGTGGTTTTCATTTCTTTATCAGAGAATTGGAATTGTTTGTCGCATAATGATGAAAAA